AAAGAAAAACAGGAAAAGAAGTAAGATAGGTTTTTGAATACATTCTATATCTAATTTTGTAGAATTTAATTAGTGAATACAAAAAAGAACTGGAAATGAAATAAGATATATTTTTGATTACTTTTTATATTTAATTGTAGATTAAATTTGTGAATACAAAAAGAAAAACAGGAAAAGAATTAAGAAATATTTTAGAATACATTCTACATCTAATTGTAGATTATAAAACATATGAATACAAAATAGAAAAATAAGAGATATATTTGAACACACATTCTATATCTAATTGTATAATATAAATTTGTGAATACAAAAAAGAAAGAACAACAAATGAAATAACATTGAAAAATAAGATTGATTCGTCGAATGTGGTTGGTATTATGGCTGGTTTAACATTCATTTGAAATATTGCTTAACAGATAAATGATATTTTAATTAATATTGTACAAATATTATGGATTTGAAGCCGATATTATTTGGTAAAGTTTTGTAACGATGACAAATTCGTGAAAACGTTTTATGAATAATTAGAATGTGCATGCATATATTTATATGTATATTTTAGGAACATTATCAATCGAGAATAATTAACATAATTGACATAAGAAACATGTGTGTGTGTGTGTGTCGTAGCAGCCAGCAGAACGGAGCTGCCATCACAGAGACTTCTCCACATGTGGACATCGCCGTCCCGACTTAGGATCGGCCGGGCACCCAGGAAAAAGTCGACTCCTTAATCTGAACTGGGCCAATTATCGCGACTGCTGAAGTATGGAGCATCCGGAAGGTTTTAGAAGGAAGTTATCCTTCTTGGGCTTTGTTAAAAGACCATCAGTAAGTTCTATATTATATTTCTTATTTTTATTATTATATAAGAACGTTTATTTTTTAAATTGGCCTAAATTCATTTTAATATTTTTTGTTTGTTTGTTGACCATAATAAAATTTAAGACTGGAAGTTTAGTGTCATAGGTAATATTTCATGGAATAAATGAAAAATAGTGTTCTGTTACTACAAAAATGTAGAAATGTTTATTTTTTAAATTGGCTTAAGTTTATTTTAATATTTTTTGTTTGTTTGTTGACTATAATCAAATCTGGGACTGGGAGTTTAGTGTCATAGGTAATATTTCATGGAATAAATAAAAAATGGTGTTTGGTTACAACACCATTTTACAACAAAAATGTAGAAATGTTTATTTTTTAAATTGTGGCCTAAGTTTATTTTAATATTTTTTGTTTGTTTGTTGACCATACAAAATCTACAACTGATATAAAATCTGATAAAAAATATTATCTGGAAACGTCTGTTAACATACTAAATACTATTTACCAAAATATTAAACTTATATTATCATATATATACAACTAATTCTATATTATATATTATTATATATGGTATGTATACTATACGTATGTATATTGTAATAATTACATCTTTATAGTATAGTTTTATTTAAGAAATTGTATAAAAATTAAAGGAATGATAAAATGAGAACGTTACAATCTTAAATTTTATGTATTAGGTGCAATATTACCTCTATATACATGTGCAATATTCCGAGAAGCATATAAACAATATTTAATAAAAGTAATTTGGTAAAGTTCTTGATAAAGTGTTTCATTAAAACGGTGAATTTCGAAGAAATGTCGTTTTTCTGAATAGTTCGCGTCAATATTTTTTATACTTATAGCAAGCGAATTTTCATGATTTTTATATTAAATTAAAGTACACTCTTTTGTCTACGCGTAGAATACCTTTTCAAATTATAAATCAATCTGAAAAGGTTCATAAAATAGCAAAGAATACGATGCTGCAAATTTTTCCTACTTTGCCA